ATTATACCATGTAATGAGTTTATTTTAAAATAAATTATTTTTTTAAATCCTCACCTGAGGATATTTTTTCCATTTATCTTCAGATAGAGTGGGAAGGAAAGAGAGAGAAACATTGATGTGAGAAAGACATATCGAGTGGTTGTCTCCCCCACAACCCTGAACAGGGCCAGGGACCAAACCATAACCAAGGTACATGCCCTTGACAGGAATCGAACCCATGACTCTTTGGTCTGTAGGCTGACACTCTAACCACTGAGCCAAACCAGCTAGAGCTAAAATACATTATTAAATAATGTAGGAAGCCTTGCAGTTTTCATTTCAAATACACTAAATATGTACAGATATAGCCCACATAAGCAAGGGCTATTTAGGGTCCTCAATAATTTTTAAGAGTGTAAGAGTCTTATATACAAATATCAAATCATCACGTTGTACATCTGAAACTAAAATAATGTTATGTATCTTATACTTCAATTTTTAAAAATAACCTAATTTTTTAGGTTCTTTTTTGGCTTAGGTGAGGAAAGAAAAATGTAAAAGAGTTTTGAGATTAAAAAAAAAAAGTTAGGGAACTACTACACTAACTTATGCTGCTTCAGTTGTTCTAAATTCAAAACATTCCAACCTTTAACAGAAAGACCGGGAAGGAAAGAACCTGGAGTTAGGGGCCTGGGTTAATCATTAAGGGAGCTTTTCTTTGTTTGGGTGCCCAGGAGGTGTTGCCACCCTGGGGGCGATGCACTGATGCACTGTAGTAAGTGCTGAGGGTGAGTGAGGAGTTGCCTTCTGTTTGCAAAGCAGAGAGAGTACTTATTATGCCTGTAAGCAAGCGTCCCAGGCTGCTTTAGAAAGGGTGAGTGTAGAAGCAGAGGCTCAGGAAACCTATTCCTCTAACACTCTCTATACAGGTGTACCCATGGGTAGGTCTCCCGGGAGATGCTGGTGAGAAGGGGAAAACTCAGAACCTTAGAGACCGGACATCTGGTAAAGAAAACCTTTTATTCACGTGGACTCAGTGAAGTCCCTCTGTAGCCCCAGGAACACAAAGGCTTATTTGCTAATGAACATGTGACTCAGTCCATTCCTGGGGTTGATGATCCACCAGCAGGGCCTTGCTGGGCCAGGTGGCTTTCAGGCTGAGTGACTGACAGTCTGACAGACCTGAGGCTTTCTCCCATTACGACTGGGCAAAGTCAAGCAGGATCCTTAAGTTCTCCTAGTTTCCACATCTGCAAAGTAGGGATAACAATACCGACTTGGCGTTTAAAGCACGTGGCACACGTTATTAGATTAATGACTACCGTTTCAGTGCTTGCTCTGTGCTGGGACCTGTCGTGGGCTCTTCATTTATAAGATTCAGTGCTCACAAAAAGCCTGAAAAATAATTATAGTATTTCTTTACTTCTAAGGAGAATTTTTGTCTACATTTAACACATCCAAAATTGAACTTTGTCTTGCATTTGATGTGCGTATCGTGTGTCCTGTTTTGTACAAAAGTGAATAAATTGATGGTGCACCTTATAAGAAAAAATACGGTCTGGATTTCCCCATTTTATGAATGGGGAAGAAGTTTAAAAATATTAAGTAACTTAAGTCCACACATTTGGAACATGTGGGACAGAGAGGTGACCCATGGATTGTCCATCTCCAATGCCTGGAGTTGTCTCATTGATTCACTATACCAGGCTGGCACACACACACACACACACACACACCCAGCTGATGGATTCTACTACAAAGCCAGGACCTACAGAGAAGAACTTAGTCCCACCCAGGCCTTGAGTGCCTCTTCTGCCCCTCTGCTTATCCAATGTATATGTCAGAATATCCCAGTGAGACGTCTTGTCCAGTTAATCCAACATATCCGAGGCACAGTTCCTCTGATGCCTGCAGCTTAAGTTTAGGACTGAAAGAACTAGAAGTGAACAGCTTGCATTGAGCACTTATGGGCAATACAATGTTACAAAATATTCTATATATGGGAAACACTCCTCCACTATGCCCACCCCCATCCCCACCACTGTTAGGTTTCTTTCTAACAGTCCACCCCTATGCAGTCTCTCTTGGTCTGCCGGGGGTCAGAGCACTGCTCTGAACTACAAGCAAATGCTGGTAGGGGTGAGGGGGAGCACTGTAAGAGAGCAAAGTGCTCCAGATCTCTGGATGCAGCCCAATTTACTTGCAGAGTGGTTCCCCAGGTTACATGTTGATTTAGGTCATTTATTTCCTTGAGATGGTGCCTCTGCTGACCATACAGCCAAGCCTTGTCTCTTGCTTTTTACAGCAAAAGAGACATCAAAGATAAAAAAAATAACAAACCCATCCTGGCCTGGGCATCCACAGCCCTTTATCCTCTCGGGGTGGTCTTCCAACACTTTGTCATGCAAACCTTATCTATTCACATGCAAACAAAACATTCAGTACCAAACAGGGTGGTCTTTCTGCCCTCCAGGCATACTTGTCTGTCCACACACACTTTGATCCTAGGCTGGCCAAGTACAAGAATGCACATCACAAGGTTACAATTTGTTCATCCACCAAACCCCCATCCCTACACCCCTAATCTTCATTTTACCCTATACATGGACTCTTATGTGGCTAGTGATCCCTGTGGGTGCAAAGGAGATGAGGTTTCTGCTACTGACACTCACACTATTAAATATATCCAGACTTCTCTCAAGAGTGAGCAAAGAGTCCTCTGTATTCCTAAGTGGCCAAAGTACCATATTTTGAGGTGCTTCTGTTGTCTTTATGGGGGGCTCTTTTAGTGTTGTCTTAGGAGTGTGTCAGAACCTATAGGTTGAAACCAGTGTCTTTGTAGATTACCTCAGCCATCAATACATTGACTGTGAAGACCTGCTTACATTTCCAAGTTAGATCCAAACCCACCCACGTTGTGTTGAAAAATGTGAGCTCAAAGTAAAGTTTATAAAACCTTTAGACCTTAACTCCACCAAATTTCAGTTGTTTCATCTTTATTCTTTGAAATATCAACAAAGTTTGTGGTAAGGATTAAATAGAAGCCTTTGTCCGGGTATTTAGAAGAATCTTGGTGTTTTTCTTATTGCTCTGGATGGGTCTCCAATGTACATTTTAGGATAATGGGGGGGGGGGTATCAAATTTGCTGCAAATATTTCTTAGCGTTTTTTTTTTTTTTTCTCCTTTTGCTTATGATGGTTTTTGATGACCATGAACTTAAAATATTTACACTGTGAAATCTCAGTATTTCCTTTGTAGTTTCTTTTATTACTTTTAAGCTTGGTCTCTACCAAAAAGTTAGATATTAATCGGTATTTTCTTCTTTTTAATAGTTTGATTTTTTTTTTTAACACATAGGTCAAGCCTGGCCAATGTGGCTCAGTAGTTGAGCATCGACCCACGCACTGGTCACTGGTTTGATTCCTGGTCAGGGCACATGCCCAGGTTGTGGGCCAAATCCTCAGTGGGGGGCATGCAGAAGGCGGCCAATCAATGTTCTCTCTCATTGGTTTCTGTCTCTCTCCCTCTCCCTTCCTTTCTCTCTAAAATCAATAATGAAAAAAATAAATTCATAGGTCAAGCCCTGGCCGGATAGCTCAGTTGGTTAGAGTGTCCTCCCAATACACAAAGGTTGTGGCTTCAATCCCCAGTCAGGGCATATACAAGAAGCAACCAACGAGTGCATAAATAAGTGGAAAAACAAATCGATGTTTCTCTCTCTCTCCAAAATTAAAAAAAAAAAAAAATTTAAAACAAAACCCATAGGTTGAAATAGATGGTGCAATGCTATGATCTTATCAGCTTTTTCTTCCTACAGTTGACCAATTCTTGTGGTGGTACTGTTTATGAAATAATTCCAACTTAAAATATTCTTAACTGTGCTGGTGAGAAAAGTGGAAAGTGAGCCCAGGAAAAGTGAGATGAGAATCAACCTGGCTGGAGGCTTCTACCAGCTGCCTTGGCCTGCAGGTGGGGAGCACCCGGGGTGACAACTGCAGCACAGACCCCACTGCTTGTGTACGAACTGCTGCGGTTGGCCCTGGCCGATCTAGCTCAGCAGTTAAAGCGTCGGCCCGTGGACCAAAGAGTAGCGGATTCAATTCTGGTCAAGGGCATGTACTTCTGTTGTGGTTCGGAGGCAACCAGTCGATGTCTCTCTCTCACCATCGATGTTTCTCTCTCTGAAAATAAATGGAAAAATATCTGAGAGGATTGAAAAAAAAACTGCCACTGTTCAAAGGAGCTGGGAGAAAGGGTATGGGATGACAGGAACAGAGATTGATGGACATACTGTATTCTATAATGGTGGATACATGCCAGTATGCATTTGTCAAAACCCACAGAGCCGCACAGCACAGGGTGAACGATAGATCCTAGTGAACAATCACCTGTCAACCTGTCAATATGAGCTCATAACAGACGCACCGCATTAATGGACTATGTTAATAACAGTGGAGACTTTGTGCAGGGACAGAGGGCACTGGCAACTCTGTGTACTGGTTGCTCTTTCCAGTAATTCCAAAACTGCTATAAAAAATAAGTCTATTATTGTTCCTTTTTTTCTTTTTTAATCCTCACCCGAGGACATTTTTCGACATTTTGTTCAGATAGAGTGGGAGGTAGAGAGAGAGAGAGAGCAACATCGACGTGAAAGCGACACATCGAGTGGTTGCCACCCACACGACCCAACCAGGGCTGGGGACAAACTGCAACCAAGGTATGTGCCCTTATGGGGAACCGAACCCGGGTTTCTCCGGACCGCAGGCTGACGCTCCAACCGCTGAGCCAAACCGGCCAGGGCTATTATTGTTACTTTTTAAACTTGAGCCCTGGCCAGTTTGGCTCAGCGGTTAGAGCATCAGCCTGCGGTCCGGAGAGACCCGGGTTCGGTTCCCGCTAAGGGCATGTACCTCGGTTGCAGTTTGTCCCCGGCCCTGATTGGTCGTGCGGGTGGCAGCCACTCGATGTGTCCCTTCACGTCGATGTTTCTCTCTCTCTCTCTTTCTCTCCCACTCTATCTGAACAAAAAAATGGAAAAATGTCCTCGGGTGAGGATTAAAAAATAAATAAATAAACTTGACATAGCTTATTGCTTCCCAAATGCTGGCACTAGGCGGCTGGGATCTGCACGTCCCGTTTCGAGGAAGTGGGTGGAGAGACAGGGCAATAGCTCAGGAGCAGAAACTTGGTGCACTGACCACGAGTGTCGATTAAAGAGTCTTCTTCCCCACAAAAAGGACCAGAGGTACACTTCAGTGTATTTCAACCAGGTATTTTATTGTTCTGGCAACTGCAAAATATACAAATTTCTAAAAGGCAGCCCCTGTTGGAAAGCTGGTACAGCCCTGTCCCAGGAAACTAATTCAGACCCACATACAGAACGCAGAGAAGTCCGCAAGTCGCACATAAAGGCCCCAAATCAACCGACAAACAATAAATCCAATCTAAAAAGTTTTCTGTTTTCAAGCTCCCTTATACACATTAAATAAATAAATAGCACATTTGCTATCAAAATAATACAAAAATAAATTTCAAGTATTACAAACGAAATCATCATTGGTGTGGTTCAAACAGTTTTCTCCTCCCCTCAATGAAGCATTTTGTCCATGATCTCAGGACAGTAAAAGGAGAGGCATCTACCTTCCCAAAAACAAAAATGCAAAGTTAAAAAAATTTGGTCCCAGGTATTTTTCAGGATTGGGGGTGAGGGGTGAGGGGCAATAAAAGAGCAACGCTCCATGCCTGCAGCCCCCACACTCTCCGTCCAGCGCCTCCTCAGAGGTCAGACCACAGCTTTCACCTGGTCTCTCCAAGGCCCCCTCCCCATCCATTGCCCCACCCAGACCCTTACTATGTTCTGGGGGAGGAAAAGCCTCGTTTATGTGTTTACCTGCTTCAGGCCGTCAGGGGCATGCACCTTCACACAGTCCCGCTCACATCAGCCTCAAGAGGCCAAAATCAGAGTTAGCTCTGACCACCAGGAATAGAAGTCCAGAAAGCGGGACACAATGACGTCATTCTCAAGAGCAGAACTGCAGGCTCCTCTGCCTAAAAATATGACCAACCTACAAACACACACTCACGTCAACTAGACTCAAGATTCCAGGAAAGAGAAAAAAATAACACAAGTCTTTAGTTGCACAGAAGGTACATACAGATCCTCTCAGGCAGGATGCCAAGCAGGAGGACAGGAGCTGAACAATTTGGTGTGAAAACTTCAGATTTGATCATGGAGTACCTGAAGCGCGTCCCATTTCCCACGTGAGCCCGATCAGAGGGACGTCCATGCTCTAAAAGCTCCTCCCAAACAAAACAGAAATGGTTGTTCTCGCCACCTCCCGCCCCAGCTGTCCAAGCTGCATCCCCACCCTCTGCTATTTTGTAGGTGCAGAGGGGTGAGGGGGCCAGGCTCAAACGCAGAGAGCAGGAAAGGAAGGTGACTTTTGGCACCAGCTTTTAGAAAGATCCTTATAGGATCATTTGGACAAATGCTGGGTCTCCAATGTGTTTCTTCTGGGCCTCAGGACACCCCCTCCCTCCCTCTGTACTTGGAGGCAACAAGGAGAAACCAGCAGACAGAAACTACAGGTATTTAGAATCACATGTCCCCAAATCCCTGCTTTGAATGCCCCCCCCCAACGTCACCGGTGCCACTAAGGCAACAGAGGACATTCCCCGAGTAACCCAACATCATGTCCGGCACACAGCAGCTGCGCGATGGAAGTGTGTGGCACTGAGCTGAGTCCTGCCAGGACACCGTGAACAGCCTCTTGGAAAAAGTGGCCTAGAGCGAGGCCTGGCCGGGGCCACTGTCCCCACCTGGGAAACATGGACGGTGGCGAACATCCCGAAGGAAGGCGGCTGGATCCTTGTTCCTCTCCGCGCTGTCTCCCAGGGTCTGTCTTGCAGTGATCTGAGTGCTCGCTCCCAGCCGGTTTACTGAGGTCCTCTGAGCGCCCCAACTCATACAGGCATGCCCAACTCCCCACATTCTTTCAGGGCCCTAGCCCCCAAGGACACAAAACCCCAAAAATCGAAGTTCCTGAAGAGAAGGTATGACTTTCAGGTCACAGTTCTGCCAGAAAAAAAATGTAAAAAGCAAGTAGCCCGGGGCTCCGGGGCCTCTGATCCAGGCCTGAGAGCAGAGGGATCCATGGCTCCCCGGGAGGGTGAGGCCCGGTGCTATTTCCTCTTGCCAACACAGCCAGACTGTCCTTCACATCTTCAGAGGCCGAGCGCAGACCTGGGAAGCTGTGTAGACACGTCGAGGGTCACTGCTTAGCTGACAAGCAAGTCCAGCTCAGGCGCCCCTGTCCGCACCTGCAGGCTGGCTCTGCCCCTGGCCCCGCCCAGCAGGCACCCTTTCTTCGCGCGTCAGCATCCCGGGCTGAGATGCATGAATGAATCTTATGAAGGTTTTCAACATCCCAGAACCTTCAGCATCTGGGATCTAGGCCCCTTTCACATTAGGATTCTGGGGCCAGTGTCATCTCCCCAGCTGGGAACATTCCAGGCCAAGGTCACAGAGACAAAACAAAACAAAACAGCACAGAGGCGCCAACGTCCCCTCCTCAGGGCCTTCTCTCACCTCCTCCACTGCTCATCGTCCTTACCAAGCCTTGTGGAGGGTCAGCGAGGCCACACAGCCCTGGACAGCAGGGCGAGCCTGAGGTGGGGGTGGCCGAAGCTGGACACAGAAGCATGGATTCTGCTCGCACACGGGAAAGGTGTGTGGGGGTCTCGGCCACCCCAGCGCTGATGGGGGCACAGGTTCACTTCGGCCAGAAGACCCCTAGAAGAACCCTCTTCTATGCCACCTGGCCCTCTCTGGGAGAAGTCGCTGGGATCGTCGGCCTCAGGCGGATGGAAGAGCCCTACCTACGCTGCAGGAACGGAAATGGAATGGAACCGATGGGTCTGCCTCAGTGTGTCCGGGAGGAGTCGACGCTGCTCTGGGAGCCTTTCATGTTCTATTTGCAGGAGAAAAGGGGCGGGGAAGGAGAATTATTATTATCGTTGACTAGGTTTCTAAAGCAAAAGACGAAAGCCATGCAATTGAGACTTCACCGCACCCCCCCCCCCCGCCCCCAGACGAAAGACACGACCGAGAATGAGCATCATTAATCACACTGGTGGCAGTTGCCCAGGGAGTCCCCAGGAACAGACGGAGGTTAGGGCCAGAGTCGCGCAGGAGAAGGGCTTCATGGCAGAGGCCTGGCATCTGGCTGCAGGAGGCGGGAAGGAGTAGGCCAGAGCTGTCCTGGGGAGCAATGGGGCCAGCACCTAAGGGACCCTCAGCTCACAGCCCTTGAGAGCCCAGGGCTGCCTCTGCCCCAGCCCGGGGAAGTCTTGCTGGCCACTCCAGGCAGAGGGTGCTCCGGGAGCCCTCTCAAGGAGCATAGGACCGCACACAGGGCCGCACACCTCAGCCCAGATTCTCGGAACACGGGCTGGGCAGCCAGAACAGGGGCTGCGAGCTGGCTAGACGTGGGCATTGTCACTAAAGCTCTCTTCCCACTCTAATAAAAGCAATCCCAGCCAGACATCTTACCCATAAGAAGCTGGTATCAAAGCCCTCTTTAAAAAAAGTGTTTTTCAATCAGCTGGGGACAGATGATGGCTGCCATTGTACAGCAGCTATCTCTTAAACTAACCTCCTAATTTACCCACCAAAAAGGGAAACACCGTTTAAAAAGTGTTCTCTCCCATCCTGAGTGTCTACACCAAGATGGCCTTAAAGGGGTAGAGGGAGAGAGTGGAACCCAGGCAGATGGACATGCAAGGATCACCTCGGCCCACTCCCCTTCCATGCAGAACGAGGCCCTGTTCCAGAAATCCCTACATAAGATAATCCTGGGCTGGTAGCATTAAAGCCCAGGTCTGAGCTTGCTCTCAGCTGGACTCGGGAGCCCAGGCAAACCAACCCTCCAACCACGAGTATATCAGACAGCCTCAGGGCAGCGGAGGGGTCTGCTGGGGAAGGCCCTGTAGCCTCAAAACCAGAGGGGACCCAGCCAACTTGTGAGGTCAGAGAGCGAGGTGCTGCCCGGCTGGCTCCAACCCACTCACACATGTCAAACCCAAGGCTCCGAGCACCCACAAACGATGGCAATGGGACAACGACACTGGGGGCCGCAGGCACAGGCTATGTCAAACCATTCACACGTGGTGTCCCTGGCTCAGGACACATGGAGGGAAAGGAGGACGTGAGAGAGGACGCCTCGAGACAATGGTGCTGCTCTGAAAAATCCCCAGTTCTCTGGCACGGGTGTGAGTCACATACTTGACCGTGGCCAGTCTTCACACAGACCGAGATGCCCTGCGGGCAGAGATGCCACGACTCAGAGAGAGATGCGGAGAGGACAGAGAGGGGGCATGCACCGAGCCATTTACCTTTCCAAGGTTAGTAAGGAGAAAACTTTGAGAAAATGTGACAGACAGTTCGTCTTTCAAGCATAGTGGGGCAAAAGAAGAAACATGTTGGAAAAGAAAAACAAAACAGAACATCTTTAGTCGTATTTTGTTTTTAGTGTGCATTTGAAATTCCAAAAGCAAGGGTGCGTAGTGAATGGCTGGCCCCAAGCACTGGTGCGGCCCCCAGGACAGGACTGCAGCGCCACATCCGGCTGGGCTGTCCTGCCCGCTTTACTGGGAAACCATGCTCACCGGTGTCCTCTAGCCACATCCCCTAAGATCCCAGGGGCTCCCACACTCCCTAGTCTCTTGGTGCTCCTGTTGCCCATGAGACGAAATCCCACTGGCCTGTGCAGAAGGAATAGGAGGGCATCAAAAGGCAGAGTGGAGTGCAAACCATAGCCCTGGAGGTACCCACCCAAGCACAGGGCACCGTCTCTCCCACAGTAATAGCTACCGGCCACCGGGCGTTGACTATGTGCCGGAGATTCTGTAAGTGCTACATTGTCAAAACACCTCATAACGTTCCTATCTCCATCTTACAGGTGAGGACGTTGTAGTCCTAGAATGGCACCACCTTGTCTAGAGTTCTAGAGAGAGAGGGTAGTAGACCCAAGATCCAAACTCGGCTCAACGTGACTTTAATAATAAACTTTGGGATCTGCAGCCCCAGACATGGGCTCGTGCTCCCAGGTGGAGCTGGACACTGAGACCCTAGATGGGAATGGAGGTGTGAAGGGTCCAGAGAACACATTTTGGCTGAACTGGGGGGAGTCTAGCCTAAGGTGCTATTAGCCTTAAAGACAGACAAGTTCAACCTTAGTAGGTGGGGGAAGTGCCAGAATGGCCCCTCCCAGCAAGAAGATCTCTTCCCTGGCAACACCAGGCCATGGGTCAAAGGAACGGGAGATGCACAGATACACGGGCGGCTACTGCTAAAGCCTGAATTTCGTGGACACGCCCATGTTAAGTAAACACACCTCAGCCACGGGGGAAACAGCTGCATGGGAGAGGCTGCAAGAGTTAGAAAGGAAATCAGCCCCAAGCTACACACATCAGGTGACCAGGACAAGGGCAGGTGAACAGTATCTTGGCTGTTCCCAGAAACCAGCCAGCCTTCAAGGCTGGGAGACCTGAGTAAGTCCTGGTTCTGCCACTGACTGGCTGGATGACCACGTGCAAGTGACTTGACCTGGGCTCATATCTGGTAAACGTAACTGCCCTGCAGACATCCTAGGGTTATTTAAGGATCAAAGTCCCGGACAGGCACTAGCACATTATCTGTGACCTGTACAGCATGTCGGAAATATATCCACTACAGGTGGTGCTGCCTAATCTAAGCACGATGCCCAACAACTCCTGTTTTCCCAGAACAAGCCAAGCTTTTAAGCTTATCAGGCTGAACTCCTCAAGCCCTTTTGGCTTCTGCGTGAATTAGTCCCTCATCAGCAAAAGGGAACACAGGTGGGTGATTTGAGGGGTTGGGGAGAGTGGCATTTCATGGTGGCGCTTACTAAAACTGCAATACTAAGGCCTCGGCTCCTTGTCACTGGGGACCACCAGAACAATGGGGACGATCGAGCTGTCTGTCACTTAACCAGAACCTTCTGCACAGAGCTCTGGCTGTGGGAAAGAGGAGACCGAGCAGGTCTGATTTGAAAGCTGCTCCCCATCCTGAACCTGACTTTTAAGGCTGAGCAGGCTCCCATACAGGACAACCCAATCCAGAGCAACAGGTCTGTTCCCCAAGAGGCCTCTGCAGAGTGTGGGGGTCCTACCAGGACAAGAGGGAGAGGTGGCAGGGTTTTGCAGATTAGGCTCTGGGTGAATTTCCTCTCAGAATGAAAGGCTCTCCTAGGGAGACGCAGAATTAAAAGGCAGTGGTAGGAGGCACAAGGCCTAGCTCCCCACCAAAATCTGACACCCAGAGGGACAAACGAGAGTTAGTGCTAACAGTAACCCAGGACCCCGAGAGGCAGTGACACAAAACAACTGGGCCGTAAGTACTTCTTGTGTCCTTTGCTAAACATTCATGAATTCCCCCCACCCTCAGATTTCACAAAAACTGCCGTGATCCCTAACATTTCAACAGGCAGGAGGCCAAACTGGCAAGCAAGAAGGAAGAGGTGCTAGCAGCAAAATTATTCAGAGGAAAATACTTACAAACAGGCTTTCCCTAGCAGAGGCTGCAGAGAGGAAAGATGAGAGAGGTCAGTTGAGGGACAGCATACAAGGCCCAGGTCATGTGAAGTCAGCACATCCTCTGCAGGACCCTCCCAGCCTGGCCCGGCTTCTCCACTCCCAGAGCATTCAGCTCAACAACCCCAAAGGGCTGTGCTGTCAAAGTCGGGGGGGAGCCCCAGCTATGTGTCCTCCCTGCACACCGCCGAGCCCAGCCCAGGCCAGTCCCCACAAATGTCGAGGACAGTGGCTTCTGAACTTCCAACTATGACTCCAATTTACATCAAAACAATGTCACAGACACACCACGTAGAATTCCACTTCTGTTTTCATTAAAAAAAAAAAAACACCTCTAAGTTTAGGCCTGAGAGTATTAATTCGATATCTCCAAGTCCTACCCTCCTCATCTGAAGGCCAGGGAGGAATGTAACCTGACAATAAAATCCTCCAGTTAGTGCCGGGGCAGACACTCCGCTCGATGCTCAGCACTCACTCCCTCATTTGATCTGCTTTGGCAGTAGGCGCTACTCCCCCATTCCTCAGATGAGAAAACTGAGGCCTGAAGCGGTCCAATGACCTGCCAAGGCTGCTCAGCACTCGCTCCCACATCGCATTTCCAGGCACCATGGAATTTAAATGTGCTTCAGGTGAAATGCAGAAGAGTTTGTGGGCCTCAGCACCAAACTCATAAACAAATCCAATTCAAAAGTTAGCCACGATTGACTTGTAAGAGACCAGGCCTGGGTGGAGGTGAGACCCCTGGGTGGGGCCCAAATTTGTGCCCAGAGATTTCTATGTTTCACAGATTCTTGGCTGTCACTGAAGAAAAACATGGTTTTCTAAAACAAATCTTAATGCCCCACAGCCATTCAGCTTTTAATCTTCACTGTGAATAAAGTGAAGTGTAGTTGGTTTTTCTCTTTTTGGGTGTTTTACTACCTGCTGAAGTAACGATGCCACATGGGAAAGTGGCTATTTCTGGACCACCCAGCGCTGAGTCGGGATGTCCGGGTTCCCACTGGGCCATGCGGCTCCGGGGCAGGACACTCTTCAACTACAGCTTCTCTACAGTGGAAAGCTATGGCAAGAAAGGGAGGCAAAATACCCAGCCACGGGCCTGGGACAGAAAAGACGTCCTCAGGCCATGTAGAAGCCAACGACCAGGAGCTGCATGGAGACGGCCAAACCAGGGGCTGTCTTTGACTTTCTTTTAGAAAAACCTATCCACAGATGTGCATGGGACACAGACACTTTGCCACTTTGCCTGGTTCTGCCCAGGGCCGACTGCCTCAGAACGCAGATGTGCAGGCTCACAGCCAAGGTCAGGCAGGACCTGACTGTGGGCCTCCAGGATGCCACAGACCTCAGAGGCTGTCCCCGTGTTCACTCCCTCCACCACCCACAGGCTGGGCTGGGTCTGAGGCCGTGGCGGCAGTCACTGGGGGGGTCTCTTCCCCACCCAGACAGGAGACACGACTGCAAGGAAGGAAAGGGGGGTAACGCACTTGTCCGGGCAGCTGCGCGGGCACCTCCGGGGGCAGGCAGTTGGGCAGGGCAGCGGAGGTAGAGGCCACATGCTCCTCAAAGCTGTTGATGCGAGGCTTTTTGGTGGGCTCGGGGCTGGCTAGTGGGGTGACACTATTGCGTCTCATGAGTGGGTTAGGTCCCTTCTTTGCGTCCTAAGCGAGACAAAGACAAAAGAGAGAAGGCGACAGTTACACGGAGAGGGGAGGTAAATAAGCCAAAAAAAATCAAAACCAAACAAACACGTTTCTCTGCTTCTGGATTTCACTGACACAAGACCAAACACAGTGAATGGCCCTGGGGCCACTGGGTTGCCATTTTGTCTTGCATCTCCCAGTCAGCAAGATCAAGGGATGACCTCCTCCCAGGCCCCTTTCCAGGTCAGTCCAAGACACCCACCAGATAAAGGGGACATTCAGAGAGCAGGTGAGGGAGGAACAGCAGGACCAGCTCTGCACAGTCAGTCATTGAATTTCAGCAGGTAACGAGGCGGGAGAAAAGGACCTTGCTGCCAGCCTCCAAGGAGGGGAGTGGAGAGGTGAGCGGCCGGGCATGAGGCTCAGGGAACCACTGAGGGACAGGACAGCAGGAGGGCGGGGGGAGAAGGTGCCGGTGCTGGACTCTCTCGTGCTGACCTCGAGCCAGGATCCGCAGGGCAGGCATGGAGCAGCCTCTGTGTCCCATAACTACACTCAGCTCAGGATAGGAAAGGCAGGTTTCAAAGCCAGCAGGAGACTGAAGACACAAAGACCCAACGGAGGCAGAATGGCCGCCAGGGCCCAACGCCAGCCTACCTTCCGCTCAGCAACAACACGCCCAGAGCAGAGCGACCCCTGCGGCCTGTCACTATAGCTCGTGACCCAGGAGCATGAGTTAGGGTCTGTCTCCACCAAGAACCTACCCTGGTTCTGTACAGTCCAGTGTTCAGGGACCATCAGAGCCCAGTTGAGCTGAACCCCGCTGCCAGGGGGTCGGGCTGGGAGGCTGCTCCTCACAAAGCCAGAGGAAATGCAGCATCCACCACCACATGCATTCAGGAGGGAACGTCACAGCCAAGGGACACCCTCCTGCATTTTAGTAACCAGCCCGGAAAATGCTGTTGGATGCTAGGATTTTAATGCCAAGTCCCCTGCACAAATGGAAAATCGTACTCGGTGTACATAACAGGGTCAGACTGATGGCGGCAAAGTACTGCATTTCGACAGCCAGTACAAAGTAAACTCTAACTTTCTTCCATAACATATGCCCGGGCGGAAGTCGGCTCTGCCCTCGGGGGAGCCCGCCAGGCTGACCACCAAATCTCAGACCTCCCGGAGGGGAATCCGACGCCACCAGGCACTGGGGTCTCCCGAAAAACCTTTCCCTCCACCACTCCTCATGTCTCTAATTTTCAAATTGCGTTTCTCCAGTCCCACTTCCTTTTCCACTGTTACCACTTCCCGGTGACTCTGTCCCTAAGTGTGTCCGGATGACTGAGTGGATTTTTCAACCCCGTTTCTGGAACCTGAAAGCAGATTAAGCCGCAAAGGAAAAGGCAACATCTGTGCTGGGGTTACATTTAAGAGCAGAATGTGTCTCCCGAGTTAATACTCACTTCTCGGGTCAAGCAGAAATGGAGGAAGAAAGCATGGAAAGAGAAAAAAACATAAGCCAAGAAGACAGGGCAGGAGCACACCGATGCTGAGAACAGGGAGCGGAGAAAGTCACCCAGGCCCGCCGAGTTCCAAGGAACCACCTCAGTGAGAACCCACTGAGCGACATACGTCCGTGTTTGCAGGCAACACAATACTGGGGACTTCCCAAGAGGTCACTCGCAGTCCTCAGGATGGAGGACAGGAGGGGTGCTGAAGGGCGTGAAGCTTCCTCACCTCTGATCTCTCCCGGTGTGTGTTCACTGACTCCACATTCAGGTAGATGGATTCTACCCGGCAACCTGGGTGGGCGAGAGAGCAGCTTCCCGTTAAAGGAGAGAAGCCGCTTACAGCCACCAGAAGCCACCACCCCGGGGGAGCAGGTCTCACTCGGCAGGGGCTGAGCCACCATACTCACCATAAGCGACTGGTGTCAGTTTTAGGACAGTGTGAAGGGGGCATTTCAGGTATGGCATCTCCTCTGAAAAAAGAGAAAGGGCCCATGATTAGACTCGAGACCTGAGCATGGACGTTCCCAGGCCCCCAGAGCCAGCTCTGCCAGGTCGGACCTTCAGAGCCTGCTGGGCTGCAGTGTCTCCCTGGGACTCTCACCCCTCACACAGACCCGCAAAAAGACTTCTAACCCAAAGAACGAAACCGAAACAACCCCCACGCCCGCTCTCACAGAACGAGAGTGAAAAGGGAAGAGTCATTTCCCAAACAACTTAGGTGTGTCGGGATCCAGCTGGACCTTGGGCCAAGTGAGACTCAAATTTCCAGCTGGAGCCCTGGCTGGTTTGGCTCAGCACTTAGAGCGTCGGCCTGTGGACCAATGAGTCGTGGGTTTGATTCCGGTCAAGGGCATGTACCTCAGTTGCCGTTGTCCCCCACCCTGGTTGTGGGTCATGTGGGAGGCAATCAGTCAGTATGGCTCTATTGCATCGATGTTTCTTTCTCTCTCCCTCCCTCCCCCTCTAAAAAAATTAATTAAGTAATTAAAATAAAAGATTCATTAAAAAAAATTTTTTCAGTTGGAGTTTTCTGAGCCGTTTGTTCCTTAGAGGAGGGCCACAGAGAAGAGCTGGCCCTCCTCACCCGGCCCAAAGCCACTGCCATGTGAGTGGACGAGGACTTCCAGGAGGCTGTTTCATGAGGCTGCTGGCCCATCATGCCTCTCATCATGCTGGCAAGTTTCCCAGGGGCGAGCAAGGAAGGACTGGGCCTGGGGGCCCTCAGCGGGCGGAGGCCCTTCCTAACCCTCAGCAGCACAGCAACCGGGGCAGGTTGGGTAAGGAAAGACAAGGTCAGCCACTACGCCAAACTTAGGCTGTTTTCCCTCCCTCCTTTCAGGGCCTGCTAACCAGCTCCCTACCCCTGCCCCAGGGAGGCTTTGGGGGACGGCGGCACCTGCACTCTTATCCAGGAAGTAGGCCAGCAGGCAACGCAGGACGGCCTGGTGGCAGATGACCAGCACATTCTCCTGCCGCTCCAGCTCCATGATCACTGGCTCCAGGCGCTGGACCAGGTCCTGGTAGGACTGCAAGACAGAGGGACGGACGCTGTGTTGGAGCAGCACACGTAGAAAGGCGGGAGCTTTGGCACCTCGGCCACCCGGCATGATGAACAGGGAACACACCGTCCGTCAGCCAGTCGACACCCAGGCGTGTTTCAGTGCTGCAGCTCTAAAACTGGGGGACCCACCTCAACGGGCTCCCTTGGAAAGGGGCAGCGCCGTGTGCCGCTAAGGAGGGGGAGCAGCCGTCCTGCGGGCACATGAGCCTGCAGCCTCCCTCTCACGGATGCTCCCTTTCCTGACTCGACACACACTGCAGTGGGGATGAGCCCCGACAAGGCCAGTCAGTGACGGGCCAGACTCAGAAGTCCACATACTGTACAACTCCATCTGCACAGCATGCCCAGGACAGGCAACTCCGCAGAAAGTCCATCTGTGGTTGCCTGGAGCTGGAGGCGGAACAGGGACTGACAGCTAAAAGGCTGGGGCTTCTTTTTGGAATGTTCTAGAATTAGTGGTGATAGTTGCACAGGATTGTGAACATACTAAAAACCAATGAATTATATACTTTAAAGTGGTTCACACAGTGAGTCTCGTATTATGTAAACTTCACATCAATAAAAATAAATTGAGCCCTGGCCAATTTGGCTCAGCAGTTAGAGCATCGGCCTGTGGTCCAAAGAGATCCGGGTTCAGTTCCCGCTCAGGGCGCGTACCTTGGTTGCAGTTTTCCCCCTGGCCCTGGTTGGGTTATGCAGGAGGCAGCCATTCGACGTGTCCCTTTCATGTCGATGTCTCTCTCTCTCTCTTCCTCTCTCTCCCTCCCACGCTATCTAAACAAACAAACCAAAAAAAAAAAACGAAAAAATGTCCTCGGGTAAGGATAAAAAAATAAACAAATAGCCCTGGCCGGTTTGGCTCAGCGGTTAGAGTGTCGGCCTGCGGTCCGAAGAGACCCGGGTTCGGTTCCCGCTAAGGGCACGTACCTCGGTTGCAGTTTGTTCCCGGCCCTGGTTGGTCGTGCGGGTGGCAGCCACTCGATGTGTCCCTTCACGTCGATGTTTCTCTCTCTCTCTCCCCTTCCCACTCTATCTTGAAATATTGAAAAATGACCTCAGGTGAGGATTAAATAAATAAATAATATAATATAATAAACTGAGAAAGAACAGGCAGGCCGAGGACTTGTGAGACCACCAGGGCTCCCCTTGCACCGGTCTCTGCTGTCCTCTTCCTTCTCTTACTAACCAGGTCCCAGGGAGCAAGGGCCAAGGTGAGACAAAAGGACAGCGCCTTGGGCTATGGGGAAACGGAGCTATGACATCACAGGAGGAAGGACTCCAGTGGGCGGCACCCTGCCGAGCCTGCAGTGGACCCGGTGCCGCCTGCGTTCTCGACTGTCCAGGGCTCTGAGCAGCTGCTCACTCAGCCACAGGGCATTACACACGGCCGCTGGGGACTGGCCCCATCAGTGTCAATTCAGCACAAGGAACCTGAGATGGCACATCGGCCACCTCACCTGCAGTCACGGGGAGAACCCTCAGAGCGGCTACGAATCACCCACGACGGTTATTCTTTCTCTCACGTACACACGTCATTAGAAAAACACACCTCTCTCACTAGTGTGTACAAGAAAATACAACTGTAGCCTTCTTGGAGCTGTTTACAAGGTTCAGTTTAGGAAGACCCGATTCAAAGATGAAAGTGTCAGGAACGGGCACCAGAACAGCACGTGGCTTGCTGTGCACAGTCGGTTCCAGTAACTGCCCGTCGGGGTGCCCAGCCACCTGCTCGTGGCCTGGCCCAGCACCCCGGCCTCTGCATTGCCCGGAGCTCCTCCACGCACCGCACAGGGCAGCCGCCCTGACCACCACTCGCCACATGGACAGTGACCCTAGGTGGAAGGGGGAGCAGCGCCAGCACACGTACCTCCCCAGTGGGGTACCGGTAGTAGTATTTGTCCTGCTCGCGCACAGCGTACTCCTCGGGGTAGGTGTCCTTGATCTCCTCATAGGTCATCTCCTCACAGACACCCTGGAGAACACACCCAGAGGTCACTTGAGGGAACATGCTCCAAGGGCCACCTTGAGTTGGTCAACACAGCACATGTGGTCTGAAAGGGCTCTCGGGATTCCCAGCAGATTCGACGGGAAGAGGCATCTTGCCCTCTCCCCCCGCCCCCAGGCCACAGCCAGACCAGACCCAGCACTCACAGCATCGATTTCATTGAGCGCCTTCCACTGTTCGTAGGGGAGCTGAAGGGCCTCTGCCGTCTGGATGGTACTCTTCAGCTGGCTGGTCCACACCTTGAGGTCCTTCAGGTTCTGTTCCTCCACAAATTTGCTCAGGGCATTGGCAAACTGGGAGGGCAAAAAACAAGAGGGACACATACTGGACTCCAGGCTCCTGTGTCCCCTGGAGCAGCAGTGCAGGGCTGTTCCCACTCCACACTGGGAACAGTCACTCTGCTGTCATTAGAGTGGTGCGGAGGAGACGGAGAGCAGCTGAGGAGCCATCCCACACACGCCCTCCTCACAGCCTGGAGGCATTCCCTTCCATCACACAGACAAACAGGTACACACACACAGACACGCAACAGAAACAGAGACACACAGACACACACAGACACAGAGACACACACACACGCACACAGGGAAAGGAGCACACATAGACATATACACATAGGGACACAGACACATACAGAGACACACATACATAGATACACACACATATACATACATACATACGGACGTACAAACACACACACACCCCACCCCTTAGCCCCTTGCCTTTCCCCTGCTTCCCTACCTTCCTGCCCCTGCTGGACAGGCCCGAGTCCCCTCCGATCTTCCCCTGGAGGTTGTGCTCGCTCTCGCCGTGCCGACACAGGTAGATGGTGCGGGGCTGCACGTGGATGTTCATCAGGTAGTACACAATCCGGCTCTGAATGTGGTCCTGCACCCTGTTCACCAAGAACCGCCGGCCCACGTCGATCACCTTGATCAGGGACAGGTCCCTGCACAGGAAGGCAACCGCCGATCAGAATCCTGCTCCCCATCAGCACAGCACTGCCAGCCCGGCCCACTCACCCGGCTCGGGCCAGCGGCAGAGATCAGCCCAACAGAACCACAACATCTGGCTGTACACTCGAGAGCACAGACCAAATCTACTCGATCTAAGAGGCAGAGTGTGAGTTTGTGATTCGTGCAGCAGAGTGTGTGGTCTGGGGGTGGGCTGGTCTCCCAGAAGAGGGGGAAAGAAGGGAAGAAAATAAAGGCAACACCAAAGGGCCCCAGCAAGACTGGGCACAAATATTCAGTGAACGTGTAATGGAGGATTTATTTCAAAAGATATTTTAAAAGAGAGTTTCTGAAAGTATCCAGGAGCAAATGCATTGTGGAAACTCCAAGGAAACATCAAAAGCCCTAAAGCAGGTGATTCAGAGATGATCGCCTCTTAGGAACTACCTGTCATATTTGTCGGGGTCGAGGGGCTGATAGCTGGCTTCATAGCAGTTGATTCTCTTCATGAAGTCTTCCATAGCCTCTGCTGAGTTGCAGTCTTTGTAATCCGGGCTGGAGATTTTCACTTCCTGTAACACCACAAAGAAGCAGCTGATGAATCACGCTGGAAGCTTTCTGCTTAGCTGAAGCAGGATTTGGGCTGGCCAACGGGGAAAGCACAGACAGACTCAGAATAACGATGACCTGATCCAGTGTTTAAGAGTAAAAGGAAAGGCCTGGCTGGTGTGGCTCAGTGGCTGAATGCAGCCCCGGCACCAAGAGGTCGCTGGTCCCTTCCCGGTCAGGGCACATGCCCAGGTTGTGGGCCAAACCCCCAGTGGGGGGTTTGCAGGAGGTGGCCAGTCCATGTTCCCTCTCATTGATGTTTCTCTCTTTCTCTCCCTCTCCCTTCCTCTCTCTCTCAAATCAATAAAGAACAAAATATTTTAAAAATAAAATAAAAATCCAAGTTCCACGGGGAGTGTTTCATGGTGCAGAGCTTCAATCCGGGAAGTTGATACAGTTCTAGAGCTTGATGGTGCTGGTGGCTGCACAGTTATGTGACTATGCTGAAGGCCACGGAACTGATCCCTTAAAAACAAACCCTTCTCCCAGCACAACCACCCACACAGAGAGCACAGCTAAGCTGCAAAGTCGCTTTGAGGCTTAATCAGAGAAAGAGGCTTCTTCTGAACACGGGGTGGGGGCAGGTGACTCCCGGCCAAGCCATGTGACTGCGCACGGGGAACGGTGATGTTGCAGCTGCTCTGTGGAACTAGCAGAACCAAACCAAAGAAATACAGCAAAACCCTTTGTTTAGAGTACAACAACTTCTGTTTCCTTGCCCTTTGAACCTCTTCCGCTGAAACCTAACTGGACTGATTTTCCACAATCTGAAAAGCCCGTCCTGAAATATGAACTCATTCCTTAGAAATGCTTGTAAATACTCCTACCGCCTAGGAGAACAGCCTCAACACCAGGAGCTAATGAGCACTCAGCATCCCCTTAGAGATGCACACGTCTGTGTAGCAATACCACAGGTTCCCTGCAGAAGTAGCAGACCTGTTTCTCTTTATACCTGCGTCTTATTCTGATGTATTTAAGCTGGAGAGAAAAGTATCTACAATGTGAGAAGGTGACTTGTGGTAAAGTCTTCACAGTAACTGTTTCTATTTATGATATAGTTATCAAGTGATACAATTGAAGCATTAATCACATTAAGCTGCCAATCACCCTCAGTTTATATCCAGGCAACCTCCCCTTGGCACAGGGAGAGGAAGAGGGTATGCTGGAGATGCACCAGTAGGAAGATAGTTTGACCACCCCTATGCTTGCCGAACTTGGGAATTCTGCCTTTAGTCTACTGCGTCCTATGACTGTCAATACATAATCATTCTTACCTGCCAGGGCCCTTAATAGTAAAAGACCCTGCTGTCTCCTTTCCCATCTGGAGGGGTGAGCTGCCCCTTGCCCCAAGCAACCCCATCACCACTCTGCCACCAAGCCGCTGCCACCCACAGAAACTGTTCCCAAACTGTTACCTCTCACGTCCCACACAGAACGCTTTCTGCCGACTGTCTGAAAGGACCCGGATAAAGCCAGGCCAGGTCACAAAACATGCTTCTAAGTGAAATATCACTCTGCACTTCTGACCTCCCCAGATCCCACCTCCCAGACAAAATCAACAGCAAGCTGAGAGAGCCCGCCTGTCCTCTGAGCCTAGTTACTTCTCTGGGCCTGACCCCATTCCCGGTGCCCTGCCTTTCTCGGACTGCGCCACTAGGGGGAGCCCTGCAGTGGCTTACCATTATATTGGAGGCCACAACTGTAGGATCATCGCACACCGACTCGATAAAAAACACCTGGGAAGAAGAGACAGAAACGTTAGGAGACAATAAATGTGGTGGTAACACAAAGGACCAACTTGGATATCACTGTGATGTTATCACCATAAAAAAAGAACCACTCTCTCAACCCCAAGTCCTAGCCCAACAGAGAGATGCCTCCCTCTCCCCACTCACAATAACCCTAAGAGCCGGCACCAGGAAGGCCCTATCTGTATGTAGCAAAACCAGGGCAGCAGGAGCTGAAGGACTAAGTATAAATCAGCTGATTCCTGAGGGTTTTCCTTTATCCTGAGCACTCCAGGGCAAGACCAGAAGTGTGGCTCACCTTGAAGTCATTTTCTTTGGCAAAATGAAGAATCATGTGTCTCCTCTCTCTAGTGGTATTGGTGGCATCGAAAACCTGGTAGAGAGAAAGAATGACCGTGAAGAGAACCCAAGTTTGAGTCTAACGGTATTTACCCAATCTCCAAGTAGATCAGGCCTCTCACTTCTAGGTAGAAACCAAAAACTGTGGCTCTAGGAGCAACTGTGCCCTGCAGACAGCCCCCGTCCACCACCTCCAGCTCTCAGGGACAGAAGGGGAGGGGTGGGCACAATCCTTAAAGCAAACGAGCAACAGTTACATTCGGAAGAAGGTACCTAGGGAAGGCGCACTGGCTCCGGGCTGCAGCCATTCCAGGTCCAACCTGCCCTGGAGGGCAGTGCCGAGGGCACAGAGATGAGGGGTGAGAAGAACACAACAGCAGGCTGTGCCCCCAAGTCCACCCTGATGACCACCTTCCTGGGTCCCTGTGCTATTCTAGCCACCTGCTTCCTGCTTCCCTCAACCGTCAGGACAGAGGCACTCATCCCTATTTGAGGTGAGGTGTTCCCACAATGGCTTTGGTACTGCTCGGGCCGGTGTCCACATTTCACTCTCCAGGGCACCATCTCACAACAGGGCTGGAGACAGAGCCAGCATGTTCCCCAGACTTACCGAAATCTGGCCCCCTTCCTTCGTCAGGTAACTTTTGACGTCTCTCAAGGCAGCGAAGGCACACTGCCTGCAACACAGAGAAAGAGAACATGCATCAGAGCTGGCCCCTCAGAGCAAGTGACGGGACTCCGCTGCTACACTTACTCAGGCTGGCCAGGGCTGCCAGGCGCAGACCCCATAGGCCCAGAGACACCCATCAAGCTGCACAGAGGGCTGCAGTGACCTTCCGGAACTGGTGCTCCTGCTGCCTGCCCACTGAAATTCCCCGGGAGGCCCTGGCTGGTTTGGCTCAGGGGTTAGAGCGTCGGCCCGTGGACCAGAGAGCTCCAGGTTCGGTTCCCGCTAAGGGCATGTATGTCGGTTGCAGTTTGTCCCCAGCCCCGGGTGGGGTCGTGTGGGTGCAACCACTTGATGTGTCTCTCTCACATCGATGTTTCTCTCTCTCTCTCTCCTTTCCTCCTTCTCTCCCTCCCGCTCTATCTGAAGATAAATGCAAAAATGTCCTCTGGTGAGGATAAAAATAAATAAATAAATAAATAAATAAATAAATAAATAAATAATGAAATTCCCCGGGAGTTTTAAGAAACCTATGCCCAGTTCTTGCCCATAGATTCTCACTAAACTGGTCTGGGGTGGGCCTGGCACTGGGATCTTTCCAAGCTCCCAGGTGATTCTGAAGTGTAGCCAGGGTTGAATACCACTGCACTTGGGTTTCATGATCACCTTGGGCTTAAAAGCAAGAAACCCTTTTCAGTGTAAACAGCTGATTTTCCACAAATATGATTTTGCTCATTCTTAATAATGAAACATTGTTGTTGATCTGTGTCCCATCAGCTGAATTAGACCATCTGGAGCAGATAAAAGCAGCAAGCCCCAGGTGACTAGGAAACTCCTCTTCACACACACAGCCCTGGGGCCAGATCTGAAGGCCCCCTGCAGAGAGCCACACGGAAGGCCAGGCCGGCTTCCTCTTTCTCTCACAGAGCCTGGCTTTCAAAAGCAAAGCAAACCAAACCCAAGGCCTCCTGCAGCAGCGCGGGCCTTACTTTCGGACTCGCATGGCCTCCTCATTGTCGGGGCGGAAGAAGTTGTAGGAGCTGTACTGCTTCACGGCCTCCCGGCGGTACTCCCCAACGTTGAACACTGCGGACAGGAGAGAGGACACTCAGCCGGCCCCCAGGAAGAGGGGCCACTCACAGCTGGAAATACTCTCCAAAAAAGGAAACCTAGCCAACACACACACACACACCCCCGACTTGAATAGATCCTGATAAGACATGGAGACCAGACAGTGGATCTCCTCGTCCTGTGCAGTCACGGAACTAAAAAGCAGCCCGGTTTCCCCCAGACCAAACAAGGCTCAGGGCCGCCTGCTTTCCCGCAGACTGTCTCCTACAGCCCAGTCTCCAGGACCGCCTCCCGAGGTCAGGAACTGGAGGCTGACTGTGAGAACAGGTAGCAGTCACACATCTAACGAAAAAAGGTAACGATTTCCACCGATGGTGCTAGGAGAGAGCGGGCTCGCACACCACTGCCAGGTCCAAATCAGACATTCGTCTGCGGACACAGCAGCCCGCACCCACGGGAAGCACGGAATGTTTGCCGGGCACTTTCTGTGGGAGGCACTGTGCTGGGCCCAGTGGTGGACAGCAAATGTAAACATTAGTCCCCATCCTTAATTCATTTCCCATACAGTTGAGAAGACAAGGTAAAGAGTCATCAAAATATAGTCAATGGGCCCTGGCCAGTTTTCCCAGTGGTTAGAGCATCAGCCAGTGGACCAGAGAGTCCAGGTTCAGTTCCCGCTAAGGGCACGTACCTCAGTTGCAGTTTATCCCCGGCCCTGGTTGGGGTCGTGTGGGTGGCAACCAGTCGATGTCTCTCTCTCACGTCGATGTTTCTCTCCCTCTCTTCCTCCCTCTCTCCCTCCTGCTCTATCTGAAGATAAATGCAAAAATGTCCTCAGGTGATAAAAAAAAAATACACACACACACACACACACACACATACACACATATATATATGGTCAATGGTACAGAGCACTTTATGGCAGTCAGTGGCAGACTGTCACAACAAAGTACCATGGGAAATTAAAGGTAACATAGACTGCGGTGGCCAGAGAAGGCTTCCTAAAGGAGGCAAGGGCTGAGCTAGACAGGTTTCAGGGCAGCAGGAATAACAGAGCGGCCAGTCAGAAAAGATCCCAACACAAAGTAAGGGTGCATAAACAGCACAGTGGGTGACACAGTCAAAAAAGGTCCCCTCCACCCCACTACAGGACAGACCAGGCCAAGAGTGGTCCTGCACGGTGAGTCCCAGCAGCTGAAGATGGGGGCCAGGGGGTGGCTTGGTAAGCAGGGTTGCAGCACAGTGTGACTATCAACCTTGGACATGGCCTCACCTTTCGTGGGGACGCCAATCCAATTGAGGTAGCGAGTCAGCTTCTTGGAGATGTAGGTCTTACCCCGGGCTGGGAGGCCCACCATGACAATCACTGTCGGGGAGTTGGTCAGCTTCGGCCCACAGGCTGGGAAGAGCAACAAAGAAAAGTGCCACGGATAAAGCAGTGCTCAAAGATGAACAAGTCCTGTGCCCCACAACAAACTTTTATAAATGCCACAGAAATTCCTATTTCATTCCCACCTTAAAGCTCTGGGCATTATATAATCCAGTGGGACTAGCGCCCCCTAGTGGCCAGAGCCCTTTAGTCACACCTTGCAGCTCCATTTTGTTTTCAGGTGATGAGAGACAGAGACCTTAATTCCCAGCCTGATACCGTGGGGCTTCAAAGTCTGCCCGGAACCTGGTGTGTACGAAAGACACCCCCCAACGCCAAGTAGGATGAAGTCAACAGCAGGAGAGGTGTTTCCAAATACAATATGTAAATTGAGAGGTGGCAGGTGGCGGGGGGGGGGGGGGGGGGGGGGGGCCGCGCGGGGGTTCTATAGCTGAAATGCAGAGAGAAGTAATCATCAGTTTCCCAGTCTCCACATGGCAGGTCTGGGTGACCTTCCTAAAAATGATTTTAAAGAAGACAATTTTAAAAATTAAGACTTTATCAAATGAAAGTAGGTCAGGGACCCAGAATGCTGCCCTATCCCCATAGGGGATGACAGATAAATTCCTCTGTCCCTGAGATTCTCCTGCCCTTTTCTGCCAAGTTTTGACTGATGCCAGGGCCCTGCTTACAAAATGGCAGGTCAGAGCCTGGCCAGGTAACGCAGTTGGTTAGAGCATCGTCCCGAGACACCAAGGTTGTGGGTTCAATCTCCAATCAGGGCCCATATAAGAATCAACCAATGAATGCATAAATAAGTGGAACAACAAATCAATGTTTCTCTTTCTCTCTCTCTCTCAAATCAATAAATATAAAAAAGGCAGGTAACAGAGTCCCAGATGCTCCAGGTCACTAAGCCCCGGCAGAGCCCCAGGAAACCCAAGAGGTCTTGCCTTGTGAATCTCCTCCTGGCTTTGCTGCTTAGCTATGTCCCATGTTCTTCAGAATCTCAATAAGACAAACACCAAGGAGAAATATTTTTCACTGTGTTTTAAGAAAGCAGCCTAAAGAGCCCTGCTCTGGACCTTTAACCCACAGTATTTCCTTGTCTGGCGTCTTGCCCGAGACTCTCAGGCAACTCCAGCATCCTGGTAATGAGTGCACATGAGCCAGGGGCTGCCCACTGGGAGCAAGAGACTGGCCATCTGTCCACTCCCAGCCCAGCAGTGCTGCTCAGAGCTCACTGGCTGCCACGGTCGGCCCAGCTCTCCTCATCAGCCATGCAGTACTGCTTCCCAGGCACCAGCCACAAGGGTGCAGGCAAAGCTATTCAGGTTGCACTGCAAACCTAGGCAGCCACCAGATTTAGACAGGGGCTCTGTCTCTCTCTAATAGATAAGTGCCAGGTAAGGAGGGGAGGGAAAGCCACCAGGCCACTGCCAAGCACAGGCTGAAGGAAGATGCCTCCTCTTAAGCTGGATGTGCCCCCACACAGTCCCACCCTCAGCGTGGTGACCAAACTGAAGTCAGGTATCCAAACATCCGCCATGCTACTCTAGGATCTGCCCCCTGGACCTGCAGGCTAGGGGCAAGGAGGAAGCAAGCACAACACAGAGGGGCTGTTTCTTTCATGGTCTGAGACCATCAGTGACCTCCATGCAAAGTGAGGAGGAGGGAAAAAGGTCAGCAGGAGGCCAGGACACATTCTGAAGCTACAAAGTCTCTGGGCTAGGATTTCTCAGATCCCAGTGGCCAGGAACAAACAGAAGCCTAGAATGTCCTTGCCCCACGTGAGCACAGGAGTGGAGAAAAGAAGTACCAATGAGCTTTCGTGAGTCCCAAGGGGCAAGCAGAGAAAAGTGATGGGCTCCCAAAAAACAATGGGGACACAAGATACACCCTGCTGTATGTATTGTGGCAGCTGCAGGTGACACATGAGGGAAGTGTTCTCATTTTTGTACCCCAAAACAATACTCTACTAATCCTTCCCCGAGGCCATTGGTTTTTCCCTGGTCTTATCTGATGTCCCCATCAAGCTACTGCTCCCAAGAGCACCCAAACATGCAGAGACAGCATGCATACACACACACACACACACACACAAAATCTCTGAGCTGTGCACATGTATGGAATACTACCGCTGGACTCATGCCAAGGAAGAGGAGACAGATATTAACTGATTTATCAAATTGGAGATTAGTTCAACTACCCACTAATCATACACAGAAATCTTCAAATCTCCTCTGGCAGTAAACGCTTTGGCAGGGGGAAAAAAAACAAAGACATGGCAGAGTAAATATCTTAAGCTGAAAAATCAGGTTGAATCTCAAATCCAAATAAACCATCAGTCCTTTATTTGGCAAAACAAATTATGATTCCTATTCCTTTGGCTTCTTGCATAAGATTCAAAGGAGCTGCAGGGGGGCCACCAAAGGCGGCTGCGGCCGTCCCTGGGCCCAGGCGCTCCTGGGTCTCAAATAGAGCAGGGAACACAAAAAAAGCTTTTTTTAAAAAAAATTTTTATTCATTTATTTATTTATTGTTGATCCTCACCCGAGGATATTTTTCCATTACTTTTTAGATAGAATGGAAGGAACAGAAAGAGAGAAACATTGCTGAGAGAGATACATGGATTGGTTGCCTCCCGCATGACCCTGACGGGGGCTGGGGATTGAACCTGTAACCCAGGTATGTGCCTTTGACCAGGAATCAAACCCGAGACCCTTTGGGTCGCTCTAACTGCTGAGCAGACCCAGCCAGGGCAAACGAAAAGTCATTTGACTAAACCTCTGAGTCTTAGTCTCCCATCATCCCTCCCTCTCTTTTTTATTTTTTAAATAGCTTAACATTTCATATACCTATATATATTTTTTAATCCTCACCCAAGGATATGTTTGTATTGAGGTTTTGTTTTTGTTTTTTGTTTTTTTGAGAGAGAGAAAAGGAGGGAGAAAGAGAGCTGTGAGAAAACATCAATCGGTTGCCTCCTCACGTGCCCCAACTGGGGTCGAATCTGCAGCCTAGGTATGTGCCCCAGTTGGGAACTGAACCCACAACCCTCTGGTGTATGGTCCAACACTCCAACAAACTGAGCCACCCAGCTAAGGCTCCCCTCCTTTTTAAAAGTCACAGCACATCCCAAGCACCTCTGTGGTCCTATAATCACCTGCCCCTACCTCAGTTCTTCCCAGACCCTCAGTTTCTTCTTCTCTGCAGCCCTTTAACCCATGAGGAGAGCTGCTTCCCACCTCTCACACCACCGTCCCAGCTCTGCCTTTTCCTCTTCTTCCCAACATCACAGAGACTAGGAAACACAAGCACAGAGTTCTGACAAGATTTTCCAAAAAGTACTTGTGTTTCATTTCATCTTAGACACATATTCAATACAAAAAAAACAAAACTTTTTATACTTAGATGTATTTAGATATCAACTTAGATGTCAATGTAAATGTGTATGTGAGGATAGGGACATGTTCACTATGTTAAAGGGGTAAGTAAGCAGGCATTTGAAGACCACCGGGCCCCAGCCGGTGTGGCTCAGTTGGTTGAGCATCGTCCAGTGCACTGAAAGGTTGCCAGTTCGATTTCTGGTCAGGCCCAGGTTGTGGGCTGGATCCCAGTAGGGGGCGTGCAGGAGGCAGCTGATCAATGTGAGAGGGAAACACGGATGTCTCTCTCTCCTTCTCCCCTCCTCTCTCTCTAAAAATCAATTTTAAAAAAAGAAAAGAAGCCCTGGCCAGTTTGGCTCAGCGGTTACAAAGTAAGCCCATGGACCAGAGAGTTGAGGGTTTGATTTCCAGTTAAGGGCAGGTACCTCGGTTTCGGGTTCAATCCCCAGCCCCAGACCGGTCGTGCAGGAGGCAAGCAATCGATGTGTCTCTCTCACACGGATGTTTGTTTCTCTCTTTCTCTCTCCCTTTCTCCCACTCTATCTAAAAGAATCAATGGGAAAATATCCTCAGGTGAGGACTAAAAAAGAAAAAAGACCACTGGGTTAACAGACTATAAACACCTTGATGGCAGATGGGGGAGGGGGCGCTCAGGCTAAAAGTGTCATTCGTGGTTAAGGCCATCACTTGAGTAAGAACTCACAGAAAGTCACCAAGTTCCGGGCTCACCACCAACTCTCTAATGTCACTACACTCACTCAAGGACACACGTGCTGGGTCCCCTGTGAGCACAAAGCATATGTGGACACCATCCCTGTGCTGAGAAGCATCTGGTCTGGGGTGGGGGCAAATGATACACAAGCAAACGAAATCACGAGGTAATTTCAGAGCACGATAAATGCTATGACAAGAGCAGGGCAGACGCCTGGCATGGGGACAGGCGGTGGCTGTGGGGGTGGGTTTGAACTGAGTAGCCAACGTCAGCATCCCTGAGTAGCACCTGAGGTGAGGCCTGATTGTCCACAGCCAGCCGTATGGTTTCTTAGTATATCATGTACAAAGGTTGCATGTGCTAGTTCCTTACATGTAAATGAATACAGGAAGCAAATGATAACTGGGAGGCCAGTTGGTGAGCTCAGGGAACAGCACCTATGGTGACCTGAGTAGCCAATCCTGAAAGTGGTCAGTCAGAAGGACAAAAGTTGCAACCCAGGTTAACCTACATAATATGTTAATGTATAACCTGTCAATTTCTCTGATAACATGTAACATGCTGACACAAGGAGGCACGCCACAGCTGTCCTCCCCCACCACACTGACACCCACGACTCATGTTCAAAAAATAAAATAAACCATTGGAAGTTATTTTGCTATTGCTCGCATCCCTCCTACAAGTTTTCTTCTCCCCAGAAACACACCAAAATGCTAACCTCAAAAAGACGCCAAGTCATTTGTGTTCTTGTCTACAAATGGGTAAGTTACCGCTTCAATGACAAGTCTGAGGGCGCACAAATGGAAGGGGCACACCAGATGCATGCAGCCCCACCAGTGTGGCTCGGTTGGTTGAGCTTCATCCCATGCACCGAGAGGTCGAAGGTTCAATTCCCAGTCAGGGTACAAGCCTGGGTTGCAGACTGGCTCCCCAGTAAGGGGGCGGGGGATACAGAAGGCAGTCAATTGATGTTCCTATCTCTCTCTCTAAAAAGAAATCAATAAAAATAAAAAGATAGACCCATGCAGATGGAGTCAGTCCCCAGCACTGCCTGATGGAAATTTGATCATTCTGTGTCTACAGTAACCACTGAAACCCACTTCCCACCAGGCAAGGGCACACCTAACTCTATACAGAAAGACCTGCTATAACCCTGCAGTTATACCATCATCTAAGAAGGGCTCTCTGGGAAACTAGCTGCATGCACTGGGCCCTGGGAGAATGAAACGCAGGCTCACAGAGTGATAGCAAACACTTAACTATTGTCTGCTGGACATAAACTCTCTCTGGGATCACATCAGCCCAAAGAGTCAGCTTAGTTAATGTTAAGAACCAACATCTAAGTGAGCTTGCCCCAGGGGGGTGTGCCTGAGGCTTTGGGGGTGGGGAGAACCCAGCTAAGCCAACCCTCTTTCAAAAGCTCTTCTGTACTATTTGATCATTACTTTGCATGCACATTTTAACACATGCCTAAGTAATCTTTGTCCAATGAATGGCCCTCCCAACCCTACATGGTCTCTGCCAACACAGTGAGGGACAGGGCACAGGGCGCTTTAGTGAATCATTTGACAACCTTGGGAAGCAATACAATAGCATAATGGTTCAGAGGGCAGAGTCTGGAGTTAAATAAAGAGTTCAAAGCTAGTTCCCACGGCTTCTTTGGACCTCGGACAAGTTACTTGATCTTTCACTGTCTTACTTTCCTTTTCAGTGAATGGAGGGATACTGCTTCACAAAGTTTCTTGGGAGAATTAACTACAATGTAGTACATGAAAAATGCTTTCTACAGTGGCCTAGGTTAGCATCAGCCTTTATGGTTTTCATCACTCAAGATGAGGAAACTAAGACCCACTAGTGAGGAGAGGGCCCACTGCACAAGTACTAAGGGACAGGGGTTGGGGCTCACCGAAGTCTCTGTCACCTGAAATTCTTTACGTGCTTTTTCCTAAATTAGTGGTTCTCCATCAGTGGCTGAACCTATACCCAGGCCTCCCCTGCAGCAATTCTAACTTGGTTTGGAGTATCCATGTGTAATTTCCCCCCTCTAAAATGTCCCCAAAATTATTCTAATGTGTAGCTAGGGCCAAGAATCAACTGTAGTGGCCACCCATGGGTAGGTAGGGATTTCTCTTAAACACCCCCTATCTTCCTTAAGTTAGAATATCATCAGTAGTATTAGCCCCTGCTGAGAAGAAAGCCCTTCTATCAGTAGACAGATGAGAAAACTGATGTTTTCTTTCATTGATATTAGAAAGAGAGAAACATCAATTCGTTGTTCCAATTATTTATGCCTTCATTGGTTTCTTGTATGTGCCCTCACCAGAGATCAAACCCGCAACCTTGGCATATCGGGACAACACTCTAACCAACTGAGCTACCCAGGCAGGCCCGAGAAAACTGAGGTTCTGAGTGGGTAAATAAGCAGGAGCATGCACACAGAAGCTCTTCACTTTTACTGATCATAAACAGAAAGGACAGGCAGCCCTTGCCAGTCAGTAATTGACATCCTTGTCAATGAAGCTGATTTACCAATTCAGTAAGTCTCCCCGAGTTATTGTTCTCATTTGAAGAAGCTGCAGGTTTCATAAGAAGCATTTACCATGATATGGATATACTAACACGACATACAATGGATGTATTTCAGAGGCAGAAATATTAAACGAGTCAATCTGGGGTTTTCTGATGTTTTATTGTTCTTTGCGCATAAACAGTAACATTCCTCATGCCCTCAGAGGAATCTGCTGTAGACCCCCAATTAGGATGCCACTTAGAAAGATGATAACAGGTTTAAGAGGAAGAAAATCCACCCAGTGTTCCAAAGGCCATTAAAGAAGGTGGGTGGGTCAGGAAAAAAGCCAAGAAAAAATACCTTGTTTTCTTTACTCTGTTGAGAGACAAATGTGGCTATATAAACCAAGAAAGACACCGCTACTTGAAATAAGGGCATGTCATAACTATTCAGGCTGCAGATATTTTTATAAGGAAGAATTTGTCTGAGACTACACCTCAGAACCACACTCAGAATTCCAGAAGTAGGAGAGGAGAGGGAATTAATCCATCAGCTTTAGCATCCCCACCCCCCCCCACCCCCCAAACTCCGAATGGTTCTGACAGGGATTTTTAGGCAAATCTCTCATCTGCGTGTGAGACGTGCAGGCTGAGAGAGGCTAATGGATGGGTGCCTCTGATGCCTGGAGGAAGAAAGCATCACTGCACACTTGTGTCTCAGAATCATACGACTGAGCGAATGCAGCCAATCTCAGTGCCCTCCGCATGGAACCTCAGGGTCATTCCTCCCAGACCTTAGCCCACCACCATGAACTTCAAAAGACTACTCAATGTGCATGTGTGTACACATACATACAGATGCATATATTTACATACACATATGTGCATATATATATAAAACCAATCTATATTCATATGACCAATTACAGTTTACAAAGTGCTCTGTAAATACAGTTTATTCCAAGTGGCAAAGGGCTGGATTGTTTCTGATTCTTGCTGTAGCCAAATCTCCCTCAGGACTTGAGGTACCACATTCCTCAACACCAATAGGTTTTATAAAACTACCAGCAGATTGTGGTCAGCCCAGTTTATAAGCTATTTAAGAGCATATCTACCCCAGTGTGGCTCAGTTAGCAGGGCACTGTCCTGTGCACCAAGGAGTGGCCAGGTTGCGGCCTTGATCCCCAGTGAGGGGCATGCAGGAGGCAGCCGACCCATGTTATGCTCTCACATTGACGTTTCTCTGTCTCTCCCTTTCCCTCCAAAAAACAATAAATTATTATTTTTATTTAAAAAAGAGTATATCTAAAAGAAGCAGACCTGCCAAGCCCCTGGCTACCTAGTTCTCCTTAAGGCTTCTGTGGCCCCCAGATCTTTCAGGTCCAGCAGAAGTGACAAGCTGGTGGAGGAGCAGTCCCCAGTGTCAGGAGTGCCTTGCCAGGTCCCCATCACCAGTATGACCAAGGAGCACCTGGGGCAGGTGGGGGTGGGGGATGAGGGCAGTGATTCACACAGGAGCAGGAATACCCACAGTGGTGAGCTGTGTGAGTTGTCACCCTGGCCTTGATAACCATCCCCTGAGAAATGTGCATGCCAGCAGGGCACCTCCTGTTGTCACTGATGCCTAGAAACCACTCCTAGGGTTTGCACCTGGGATCCCATGTTTACCTCTCAGACAATCTAACCTTGTCTGGGACAAAACACCACCACTTGGGTTCTACCCTACCCAACTGGTGGGCTCCTGGGCAGGTTACCTGGAGGAGTGGTGTAGCCTTCAAACCATTGGAACCACCCTTTTAAGAGGTTAAGACTCTCCCCAGAGCTAGGAACAGAACCTAAGGTAAACCTTTCCAAAGTATTTATGGCCAATGACGGCGGGGTGGGGAACGGCCGGCAAATTCTGAGCACGGTAGAGTGTGCGCGCGCGTGAAACGCCGCCAACTGTGCAGTCAGGGTTCCACAGACCCTCCCCAAATCCGGGGCAATGGCTTGCTTCCAGGTCAAGCTCTCTTGGGGCCCCCGCACAGGAGCTAGAACTGGGAGCAGAGAGAAAGGAAATAGAAATACTATAGAGGAAAGAGGGAGGGAGAGGGAGAGAGAAAGAAAGAACAGAAATATAAAGAGGGGAGATAGAAATATAAAGATGAGATTATGAGAGAGAAATATATAGAAAGGGGGACTGAGAGAACGTGGAAATACCGAAAGGCAAGGAGAGGAGACAAATACAGAGAAGGGCTGTGAGAGGCGATGGAAATAGAGGTAAAGAGAAAGGGACAGAGAGGAGGCAAGGGAGAGATCCAAGGGAGAGATCCAAGGTGACGTCCCTTGGCCGGACTCAGTCCATTGAGCAACCGGGAGGATAGCCGAGACTGGGCACAAGCGGGCGTCCCTTCTCAAGGCTCTCTGCAGTGCCTGAGCTCGCCACTCCTGGCATTGCTCGGGGGCCAGGCCCCGGCGCGCTCGCTGTTTGCGGCTCGGTCGGTGCTCCGCGGCCGCAGCCCAGTGCAGCACAGCGTTGCAGCTGAGCGAGCGCGCGGCCGACCGCGGCCAGGAGAGGCGCAGCGCCGGCGCAGGAGCCTCCGCCGTCCCCGCCCCGCGCCACCGCCAGCCCCGCCCCGCGCTCCGGGGAGGAGCGGCAGGCGCCGGGCCCCAGCCAGCGGAGACAGCCGTGGAGGGAGGCGAAGAGTCGGTACAAAAGCGCCTCACCAGCGCCCGCCGCACAATGGATTCGCTTTCCCCGCGGCGCGGCTCCCCTGCAGCCAGCCCACCCCCTGCACACATCTGCACTCACATCTGGGCAGCGAGGGACGGTGATCGACCGGGATCCAGATCTTCTGCACCCGGCTCTGAGTCAGCTCCAGGGGCATCTTCACAGCCTAGACTCGGCCTGCCCTCCCCTTGAGAAGAATTCAGACTTGGGGTAGAGAGCAGCGTGTCGACCCCCAGAAACAAAGGAAAAGAGGGAGTTTGTGCGCGGGAGCGCGGCCCGGGCGCTCTCCCTAGCGCTGCTATTTGAAAACGTGCTTTGTGCTAAATGACGAACGATCGCCCGAGGCGCGAGGCTCCACGAGCGCTTCGAAAGGGGCGGAGGTCTGGGGGTGCACCCGGAGCTCCCGCAGGGCCGGGCTCGTCTACTCAAGAAGTCCCCGGGATGCTCGGAGAGCAGTGACAGCCGCCGCAGTTCCCGTCCGCCAGCTCGAGTCCTCCACGGTCTAAGCCCGCTCGCCTCCTCTCCAGCTCTGCTAGGATCCCTCGCGCTCCGCCTGGGCTTTTAAGAGTCCGGCCGGCAGCGACGCATACGTCAGCCTCGGGGCGGGAACGCATTCTTCAGGTTCCAGCCTCTCTTCACGTGGAGACAGGGCGGGGAGGGGCGGGGAGCAAGTCAGGAGGCGGCCTGCTGGTGCCCTCTGCAGGCCAGCGTCGGTGGTGCGCCCTGCTCCTGCAGATAACTCCCCAAACCCAGCCTTGGCTGAAGGTCCTAGACTCCATGAGCCTCCTCCTATCATCCCCTAAAAACGATGGGCACGGCTTCCCAGAAAAATCACTTCCACTGTGCTGGGAGGCAAGGAGCGGCGCCATCCAGTGGTCCGTGGACCCGTGCAGTCGAATCTCCAAGGATGATAGTTAAAATGCATCCTACTGATGGCCTCTCTGGCAGTGGGACCACAGTACTCTGCATTCTTAAGATACAACCCGCGTCAGGCACAGTCAGGTTGAAGACTCGGCCTAATGTTAATGATTGGAGAGAGAGAAGCCTGAGGGAGGATGCTGAGAGGGCCCGTGGCAGGAGGCTTCCCTGGTCCTTCGTCCTCACCCCGCCCACTTTTCCTGAATCCCTTAGAAACCTTGACTAGTCCTGAACATTGCTCTCCCAACACCAGTCCCAAGATCTGGAACCCTAGCAGCGCCTGAGGAGGCGGCGGTAAAGCCCCGGAGGCAGGATCCAAATGGACCCAAGAGTCTTGGTTTCTCCCAGTCACTATTTACAATATTTTCAACATGCCTTTCTCTCTACTAGTAGAAGAGTAAATAAAACTAGATCCTATTGTGACCCGCAATTGATTACCGGACTATAAGCCCCATAATAACTATCGCGGGAACTGCCACGGCACGATGGTGTTACATGGATGTGCGCGATGCATCAGCACAGCAGCGCTGCCCTGCCTTGCATAGGTGCATACCTCAAGCAGGGGTTGGGCTGTGATTGCAAGGAAGTAGGCGGCGCTCCCTGAAACCCACACAGCAGCGGAATAGTCGGAGCGGAGGCTGCTGCCCACGTCGCTCACGTCCCACATGGCTCCGCTGGGGCTGTGCCCACTCTCCTGCAGCCAGCACAGCTGCGGCCAGCGCAGCTGCTCCCGCCCCGCCCCACCGGGGCCTCCCCTCTTCCCTGCACTCCAGCCCTCCCAGGGGCTGGGAGCGCTGAGCCACACCCACCGGGAGGGGGGCCCTCGTCCCCCCACCTCCTCTCCCGCCTCCGCCACCCAGCCTTCCCCGGAGTCTCTGCTCTCCCTCCTACAGCTTTGCTGACTGCCGGTTTTCGGCGCTTGGCAACTGTTCAGAAACCCGAGTGCATTGCACTGGACTTGTTTTTCTGCAGTGGGAGCAAATGCCAGAGATGACACCCTAAACGCCCCAGGAAGAATCCCACACCACTCTTGAAGAGAGCGCTGATCAAAGAGAAAAGCATTCGCCAGCGAGCGCTGGCGCCTCCAGGAAAAGTTGCTGCCCCGGGTTTCGCTAGAGTCGAGAAGGGGGTCGGCTGTGTGTATGACTGCAGCTGCACCCCTAGATGCCTGCACACTTGCCTCCCAGGAAGAACCACAGTGTACCTGCTTGCCTGGTACTTTCCCACCGATTTTTTTTTACATACACTTACAAACAGGGCAAGGGGACGAGGCAGCATTCTACCACCCTCAAACAACTGTGGTGGGTTTCAGTTTAGGGAGTGTGAGGACTAAAATTTGGAGGCACAGCTTTAATCTACAGACTTAATAACATGTCTGTCCAGGGTCCAGCTCTGAAGGCACGAGGCAGTAGACCTAACTCGGAGATCCCGGTTTAAGCGCTTGCACACTTTCCCTGCTGGTGTGTCAATAACGCCTTAGATGGCCATTGCTGCAAGGCAAAGACAGTTCTTCCTCATCATTTCTGCATCTGGTGAGGAGCAGGCAAATGGAGTTCACTTAATCTCCCTCCTACTTCTGATATCTAAGTGCAAACAAACTGGGAATGCGTGGGAGGCAAGGATAAATTCACACTTAAAATAATTTTAAAATAAAGAAGGCAGCTTGAATTGGTTTCACGCTTGCGGCCCTCAAAGTAAATTTGGGTAGCACCCCATGGAAGATAAAATTACTTAAGTGCAAAATCATTTACAAACAACCCAGCCCTGGCAGGTGTGGCTCAGTTGGTTGGAGCAATGTCCTGTGCAAAGAAAGGTTGCGGGTTCCATTCCAGGCCAGGGCACATACCTAGGGTGCCGGTTTGGTTCCATCCTCTGTAGGGGCAGGGTTGGGCGCATATGGGAGCCTCCCATGGATACATCAATGTCTTCCTTCCTTCCTTCCTTCCTTCCTTCCTTCCTTCCTTCCTTCCTTCCTTCCTTTCTCTCTCTCCCTCTCTCTCTCTCCACCCCCTTACCCTCTCTCTAAAATCAGTAAAACATATCCTCAGGTGAGGATTTAAATAAATAAATATAAATAACCCAACTGCAACTGAATGTACTGGTTCAGAGTTCATGGTTTAGACATCTGTGCAACTCTTCCCCTAGTTCTGCTAATGGCCCCCCCTTCACCAAACTGTCTAGGGCTTTTTATCAACTTTTTGGTCCCTAAGATCAGCAACTCACTCCTTCAGAAAAGGCTTCAGAGTAAAAATTTCTCTAATATAAAGATACTTTTAAGACAGGACAGATCCAAGTACTTGGGGAGATTCTATCCATGGCACTATTAAGGCTAGATAACCCAGTATTGTTTTAAGCGAGTAAAGGGGGGTTTTGAGATTAGAGGGGTTAAGCAACTAGGCCAAAACACACAGCGAGTTAAGAAAAATTGTCCCCTACTTGACAATGACAAGTTTCCCCAAGGGACTCCTAATGGACACATCCTAATCCTAGGGTGCTGAGTGGAGCCCTGAAGGGGAAGACCACACTGATTCAGCCCATCTCACCCAGAACATTTGAGGTGTTTGGCAGGAAAGCACAAAGAGCTTCTTGTGCAGTAAGTAGTGCGTGGTGGAGGTGTTCACAGAGAATCCTTTAGCTAGGTCTAGAAGCGACAAGGAATGGTGGAAGCGCTTTCTCTCCATACCCTCTCTCTGCCCAGTTCCCTCTCACCATTTCATAACCCTTACCCCTGCCCCCGATGCTGCCATAACAACAGCACAAAGTAACCCCATTTCCATGATTCAGTGCCAGCTAGCCATATTGAAACAGTTAAACCAGGCTAGTACCCACCTCCCCCAGTGAGAGAATCAGAGAACGAACAAGGTGTGGCAATGAGCAATCAGAGATGCTAATTAGACACAAAGTGTCATCATTTGTTCCCATGAACCATTCTGTCTAAGAGAGTGCAGTGAAATGCCAAATAAAAGACCAAAATAAGCCCTGGCTGGTTTGGCTCAGCGGTTGGAGCCTCGGCCTGCGGTCCTGAGAGACCTGGGTCCGGTTCCCGCTAAGGGCGCATACCTCGGTTGCAGTTTGTCCCCGGCCCTGGTCGGTGGTGCAGGTGGCAGCCACTCGATGTGTCCCTTCACATTGATGTTTCTCTCTCTCTCTCTGTTCCTATCTCTCCCTCCCACTCTACCTGAACAAAAAATGGAAAAATGTCCTCGGGTGAGGATAAAAAAATAAAAAATAAAAATAAATAAATAAATAAACCCTCACCTCACCAATCCAAAGACAGGGAAGAGGGGCAACCTTTTTTTTTTTTTTTTTAATTTTATCCCTCATATGTGAATGGGAACACAGACACCAATATCAGCACAATGCCACATTGGCTGATTGAAAACCCAATTCAAAACTTGCACAATGAGCCCAGCTAGAGTAGCTCAGTCATTGTTCTGTGCACTGAAAGAATGTAGGTTCGATTCCCAATCAGGGCGCATACCTGGGTTCTGGTTCCTCCCTGAAAGCAACTGATCGATGTTTCTCTATCACATGGATATCTCTCTCTCTCTCTCTCTCTCTCTCTCCTCTCTCTAAGCATGTCCTCAGGTGAGGATTTAAAAAAAATTTTTTTAAACCTGCACAATTAGGTTTATAGCAGCTTTATTCACAATCACCAAAATGTGAAAGCAGCCATGATACCCTTCAGTAGGTGAATAAATAAACTGTAGTCCCTCCAGACAATGAAGTATTACTCAGCGTTAAAAAGAAATGAGCCATTAAGCCATGAAAAGACACTGAGGAACCTTAAATGCATGTTACTAAGTAACAGAAGTCAATTTGACAAGGTTCCATACTGGATGACTCCAACTCTAAGACATTCTGGAAAAGGCAAAACTATGAAAAAGCGAAACTATGAAGAGAGTAAAATGATCAGTGGGTGCCAGGGATTAGGGAGGAAGAAGGGAGAACATAAGTGGAGCATAGAGAATTTTTAGGACAGTGAAATTACTCTGTGAAACTACTCATTACAGTATCATACAGTGAAAAAAATCTGTATGATACTGTAATGATGGATACATGCTTTCATACATTTGTCTAAACCTACAGAATGTACAATGCCAAGAGTGACCCTAATGTAAACTATGGACTTTGGGAGATGATGTGTTGGTGTAGATTCCTCCTTAAAAAAAAAAAATGCAGCCCTGGCCGGTTTGGCTCAGCGGTTGGAGCGTCGGCCTGCGGTACAGAGAGACCCGGGTTCGGTTCCCGCTAAGGGCACGTGCCTCAGTTGCAGTTTGTCCCCGGCCCTGGTTGGTTGTGCGGGTGGCAGCCACTTGATGTGTCCCTTCACATCGATGTTTCTCTCTCTCTTCCTCTCTCTCCCTCCTGCTCTATCTGAACAAAAAATGGAAAAATGTCCTCGGGTGAGGATAAAAAAAAAAAAAATGCAACCTTAAAAAAAAATGATGTTGATATTGAGGAAGGCTGTTGTATGTGTGCAGGCAGAGGGTATACAGGAACTCTATACTTTCAATTTTTCTGTGAACCTAAAACTGTTCTAAAAAATAAAGTCTATTTTAAACAATCATTATTTTTCTACAGATGTCATAAACACTTTTCTCCAGTCAAGTAGACTTACATGTTATATCATGGGGAT